GTAGCAGGCTGTGGCACACCGTGCTGTGCCCAGCAGGGTGGCTGCAGAGAACCAGACGAGCCGCAGCCAGGCCGCGCTCCGGCAGCAGTATGAGGAGCGGCAGCGGGAGTCGGAGCATGTCTATGAGCTCCTGGAGAACAAGATCCAGCTCCTACAGGAGGTGAGTCAAGGGATGGTGGGGGCTAGGGAGGAGCCAGGGGCTGCTGCCTGGGGGCTCACCCTGCTGCCATGCAGGAGGCCAGGCTGGCACGGAGTGAGGCCGAGCAGGCCACGGCGCTGGCCAGAGCCGAGGCAGAGAGATGCCGGGAGCTGACAGGGAAGCTGAAGGAAGCGACGAGGACAAAGCTGGAGGACAGGAGCGACAATGGCTGTGGCTCCATGGCCCAGAGGTAGGTGTCCAGGACACGTCTCTATGCTGCCATCCTGTGCTGTGCCAGTTCTTAGGGACTGCCAAGGGACTCCTTGTGATATGCATGACTGAGGGGCTGTACATATCTGGGGGGGTGCAGGGATCCCCCCAGTGGGCGAGAGCTGGGCTGTGGGGAAGGGGGAGCAGTCCTGAGGCTGCTCTGCTTTGCCCCAGAGATTGACCTCTGTCAGCTGTCCCCAGTGTCACCATCTCAGGGCCAACCCAGTGCCTGAGCATCCCTTTTGTCAATTTCAGCAGGATCGAAGAGCTGACCCAAGAGCTGGCTGCCAGCAACCAGCTGGTGGAATTGCTGTCAGCAGAGAAGTGTGACCTGCAGCAGTGCCTGGAGGGGTCTCCGGTCATGGAGGGGCAGGTAAGTGGGAAAAGGTTGGGAGACCCCAGGGAGGAGCACGTCCATCTGGGGCTTGGCTGGTTGTTGTCATCCCTGTCCCCTTCTGGGGCTGTGGCCAGGGCTATGCCATGTTCAGCCTGGCAGGGTCAGGTGATTTCCAGGAGGAGCAGGGAGGCTCAGAGGACGCGGTGCGAGCTGCCAAGGGACAGGCCACCAGCCTGTGCCGTCCTTCTGTGGGTGTTGGTGTCGCTTGCTCCTGTCTGCCTGTTAGATCCCAAGTCTTAAAATACTCCTGGCAGCTTGGCATGGTGCCAGGCAGGATTTCGGGGCTGTGAGAGATCAGAGCGGCATGTTCCTGGCAGCTGCACAGCTCTGGCCATGCTGCTTGTTGGTGGCTCGGCGCTGTCCCCAGCAGCCAGGGGCCATCGATGCGTGAGCTGCCTGTGCAGTGGTCCTGCAGAGACCCTCTGTGTGCCCACCGGCTGGCGTGGGCTGCTGTGCAGGTGCTGGTGGCACTGTGCTGCAGGGACATGTCCAGTCACACATGGGCTGCTGTGCAGGTGCTGGTGGCACTGTGCTGCGGGGACATGTCCAGTCACACATGGGCTGCTGTGCAGGTGCTGGTGGCACTGTGCTGCGGGGACATGTCCAGTCACACATGGGCTGCTGCGCAGGTGCTGGTGGCACTGTGCTGCAGGGACATGTCCAGTCACACATGGGCTGCGGCGCAGGTGCTGGTGGCACTGTGCTGCGGGGACATGTCCAGTCACACTGCCCGCTGGGGCTGGCCGCTTGGGCAGGCTGGCACTGCGACCTGGCACTGGGATGGATATATGGCCCTGGGGTGAGGATCCGGCACTGGAACAAGGATCCGGCACTGGGATAGGTGCTGGCATTGGGACAGAGACGTGGCACAGACACCGGGGTGGGGACCTGGCACTGGGACAGGGACGTGGCACAGGCACTGGAGTAGGGACCTGGCACTGGGACAGGCACTTGCATTGGAGCCAAGCACTGGTGTGTGTGTCTGTTTGTGTGCGTGGCTCTGGCACTGAGACCGGACACCTGCGCTGTCGCGTCGCGACCCGTCGCTGTCGTTG